ACGAGCTTACCAATAAGAGTCAAAATTTCATTCATGTGACGAAGCTTTGGGAGTCCTAGAGGAGAGGGGATAAGAAGCGAGGAAGCAGGAGCAGATAAACGGAAATGGACTTACGAAAACACATTTGAGAGAGACACACGTGACTTGGAGATGAGATCAGCTGCAGACGCAACTGGTCAACGCCTGACGGCCTATGCAATCCGACCGTCCGTTATCAGTGGAAATTCGGAATTAATTCCGTTCGATGTACTAGTTAGACCGGCATTAATAGAGCACTCAAAGGAGTGTCGGCTGACGAAGTGCAGAGGGGTGACGTCCCAACCTGTGAATTTTCGACAACGAGACTCGTCATTATGAAAAGCTTGCGGGTAGCGGAGAGGTCCTGGGCGAGTGCAAGGGAGAACCAGGTTCCTGTTCCGGTGCCGTTCATGCTGCAGACTGTTGCGGCGTCAGCCAGACGATCCGTGTACGTGCAATACTTCGAGGTATTCAACTCATCGTCATACTCACGCATGTTTGCCCAACTCCATAAAGAGAAAAGTGCGCATTTGGGAATAGAAGTATGAAAGAAAAATTATAATAGTCCAATGAACAATTGCATTGAAAGTTATGTGCCTTACTATTTTAAAATGAACGTGTGCTCACCATTTAGACGGGCAACACTAAATATGGACATTATTAGTGTAGTAATTAAATCAGAGTAGATTAGTAAACCATATGCATCCATTCGACCCAGAGCGTCTGCCCCATAGATTCTCAATGCCGGCGTAAGATTGCAGGTACGTTGTATGCTTGGCGCCCCCTCAAATAAATTTAGCGCTTGAAATCTGCTAACGTTTGAAATCTGCTAACCACCGACACTCTCCTGCGTGATGGTACCCCCTCTCTGTGGTTGCTAGTCAGCGGTTCATGGCAATATATTTTTACTTACAATGAAACAAGTACAACTTTACTTGTTTTATTGTATATTTTGATCTCATTACTGTGCGATTTTATTTTTTAACTTCATACTAAATTATAACAAAAATGTACGAATTTTGAAATTTGTAAGAACTTTCTTCTCACCTTATGATGCGTAAAACCACTACAAAAAATATTGTATTTCAGAATATGTGAGAAATAATTTTTTTTAAATGTCGTACTTTGTCCAAAAAGAAAAAAAGATATATGAACGTTAAATAAATATTATGTGATAATTACTTTATTTTATACAAGTTTGATTATTTAAAAACTATTTTGCCAAACTCAGTTTTTGTAACTTTAAGAAAGAATGTTTTTGTTACTACTTTCCATCTGCTCAGATGATCAAAGAATATGTTGATTTGTGGTTGAGAAAATGTTTTTAGCAAGACAGCGAATTAATTCTCTTATAATTATTATTGTCGTTAGATACTTTGTTAACATCCACACGTACAATGTCATAATCACATCAGCATCACCCTCTGTTGAGACTGCATGTCTGATCTTATTATAGCAGCACCCGTTTGAACCACCGTTAAGCACTCATCTTCTTTGTTACCATATCTCGAACTTGAGTGATTCGCTCAAAATTGTCACCCACATCTCGAAAACATCACAGATTTTGCTAAGCAATTGAGTGACTTACTATTGTAACGTATTAGCAAACGAACTTGGGGCGGCTATTTTGGGACGCGTGGTAAGGGATTAGTAACTGGAAACCGCCTCGCCACAGGAGGGAGAGAAGGGTTTTTCCTAAAGCCAGCACGCGGCAAAGGGAGACACGAGGCTTTGGGGTCCTCCGGTCTTAAGAAACGGAGACCCAAACCCTCATGGCCAGCAATAGGGCGCAGCGGGGGCGGCGTGACGTAGTAGGTCACGTGAGCCTCGAGTATATAAGGGAGTGCACAGAGCCAGTGGGTGGGTTCTGGAGACAGTGGGAGAACCTCGTGCGAATGCACAAATTTGGCGCCACGACGGTGCAGCGGTGAGCAGGGCTTGCGAGGCAAGTCACGTGTTGATGAGCCAGTGGAGGTCTTTTTGTTCTTGGGTGATTGCGGTCACGTGGGAGCTATGCTGTGTGTGTGCTCCGAGGTGAGGAGTGATTGAGTGCCACTACTAGCGGCCGATTCTCAATCGGGTAAGCTCCTGCGATCGAGGCAAACCATCAGTCGAAACGCCGGTACGGACTTAGTGTCCCAGTGTGACATTCGGTCACGGAAGCTTGGCTTTGTGCACGTTTCAGATGTAAGAGGGGCGAGTTCCCGCGATCAGGGGATAGCAGGTCTATCAGAGCTAGGGTGTAAAAGTGTAAATTCATTGTAAATATTTGTTGTGTTTTCTTTGTAAATAAATATTTTTATATGAAAGCTCTGTGTCTGCGTTCGCTGTGAGTATCCATGACGTCACACTATACTGTTACCATACGTTTCCAGTAGCTTTTCTTTAACTGTTCTTAGTGTGAACTTACCTTTAGATTTTGCATTCATTAGATCATCAAAGGAAAACAGTAAATATTCATTCTCATTTAGAAAATACTAGATCACAAAACCAATCCACACATAATCATCAAAAGGACGTTCAATTTTTGTACCTGTTGCAAGTTTGGTTGAAAATAATTTTTGCAGCTTTTGTCTTGGTAAATTGCATTACTTGCAAGCATATCCTCAACAATGATGATCCGACTTGACCTTTCTGCGTCTAGCAAGTCTCCCTTACGAGCAGCATAATTCAAAACTTGTGTTACATTTCCCTGCTGTGTACTTCATAGACTTGCTAAGGTTGTTACGGTGTTTTTTTTAGTTTGTTACCTTTCTTCGTTAGAAGAGAAACTATTGTAATCGTGTGCCGAAAAACTTCCATTTTCAGACACAAAAACTCTTAATGCGCAGGTCTCATTGTCTTTTGCGAAAATTGCAAAAGTTCAAACTTATTTCGGCGTCTTCCTACAATTACGATATTGGAAATTGAGACTTTTTTCTTCGCCCAAAATCGTGGGCGTTGCTAGCTTTAGACTAAATCTAGCAGCACCCACCTAGAAAATGCAACTAAAAAAATCAAAAATTTGAAACCACGCCCAAAATTATAGCTAATTTACGGCTCTAGGAAAAAAAATTTCCCGAATTTGTCTTCCACAAATCAGGGCAGTACAAAGAGAAATAATTAACATATGTTCTGGTAACAAAACGAATACACACCCAAATCAAAAAACTTCAGAAAAAATATTAAACCTACCCACATCTTAAGGCTATTAATTTTAAGCTCTAGGAAAAATATTATTCTGGCATCCATATTCAAATTTTAAGGCTGTACAAAGAAAAAGAGTTAACATTCGTTCTTATAGGCCAGGCCTGCACAACGCGTGCTCCCGTGAGCACTCTACACTTCCGAGCCGACCGTCTGCTCGCGAAAGAGCCGAAAGTGCAAGTAGCAGGGGGTAGGAGGCTTTGCGAGGAGGGCAGAAGACTGACGTTGCACGACGCAGCGCGTACATTAAAAGCCGGGGCGTCTAATGCTGTGAAATCATCTTCCCACTTGTTTAAATGGGTGATGTCCCGTATTTTAGGCTTCAAGAACCATAACTCACTGTTTACGTTCTTCTGTACACTGTAGCTTATCCACCTTTGTATCCACCACTGTATGTAATTATTTTTAGTTGATGCTTACTGTGACTCTTAAGCTGTATTTAAGCTGTATACGTTACGGGCCATCATAATATTAGCATGGGTCTTGTTAAATAGAATGCAAAGTGCTTAATATATTTATACAATGTCTTAAATGATTAATAAATAGTGTTCGATGATTTGATATTACAAATATACAATGAACTATTGTCAGAAATTAGACCAGAAAATAATCATGATTTTGTTTTAAGAATAATATTTTGTAGCTTTGAGAGAACCATCTTAGTCAAGTAAACATAGTTAATAAACAATATTTCACATAGTTTATAATTGTTAAAAATGTTTCAAATATTTCAAAAACAACCAATTTTTACATTTCTAGTTTTAAAATTCCTGATTAGTCTTTGAAATCCCGTAAGCCATAAACTTACTTATATATCCAACGATTATTATACTACTATTGATACAAGTAAATTACATGTCTCCATGGAACTGTCAATCAAGACTTATGTAACAGAAATTTAAAAATAGAAAAAGTTCTCTATATACTTAACTATTCAGTTTTTCTTGTTTTCTCACAACTTTACAGTTCCTGACTTGCGGAGGTTTAAAAATAACCGATTCATATATGAAAATTATAATATTTGTAAAAAATAAATGTTAAAATTATTAAACTGTTAATTTGTTAAAATATGTTTTGTTCATTTGTTAAAATTTGTTAAAAAAATAAAATGTTAATTTGTAATAAACAAATATTAAAATATTTGTTTTAAATAAATCAGTGTATTTATTGCCTTTCAGTATCCTAAGGATGATTTTGGGAGAGGTAGCTCAGAGCATCAACTGATGTCACTGCCTCTGCCTGGGAGGTATCAGGTACGAGTTCCGACGGTGGTAGGATTTTCGATACTAACTACATAGCTGGGTCGAATTCACACGCTGTCTAGAGGAGCAGTCTGGCGGCCGACTGCTCTGATTGGTAGTTTCCGTGGTTTCTCCGATCAGTACCAGGCTTTTCTCCAATCTTTCCTTCTCCTTCCTTGTCATATCTTCACCCCTTACTTACATACACTTACATGCAACACTTATACTACCACACATACTGGGTGATCGGCTGGGAGCTTAGAACTTGTATCAGCTGGAGCGGTGCCCCGCTGGTGGGAGATACCTGGTTGGGAAAAAGTCCCGCTAGCCGACGAGAAGTTCGGCGCCGAATATCACCATCCAGCGGGGGAAGATCACCGCCACCTCCCGAGGGAAAAGTGTCCACTACATTTACGGGACAAATGACCTCAGTAGTTGTTGCGCTCGTGATCATCAATCAATCCTAAGGATAACTCTATCCTACAACATAGTCTTATGATATTTCGTAAATACAACAAATAATATAGAAAAGTACGGACTATTTTAGCATCACAAGTTGTATTTGATACCTTACTAAAATATATATTCGTCAGTAATAAATGAAACAATTTTAAAATTACTTATTTATTTATTTATTATATTGTATGATAATTTGTCATCGAGGAAAACTTATAGAAATGATGCTACAATATCCCGAAGGCTTGTGTATGTTCCAATTATTAGTGCAAATAATCCACAAATGAGCAAAATAATATCTTTCCACAAAATCCATTTGAATCGTCCAAATGCTTTCTTGGGCCAAAGGAGACATATTTCAATAAATGCAGGAAAAGATATTCCAAGAGCCGATAAACACAATGCTCCAAACAATGAAATGAAAAGTTCCAACTGTGGAATTGCTGCTGCAAGAAGAACTGGAAAAAGAAAAAAAGGATTGAAACAAAGTGAAACAAAATACATTAATTTAATTTGAATTAAAGGGTATGATAATGATACCTACATGTTACCAGGACAATCATTGTACGTAATACATACTCGTAGAATATTTGTTTTCTTGGAGAAGATTTTTCAAATTTTTTACTCAAATATGAACCCCATATTATTTCTACAGGTACGTAACACTGAAGGGCGTATGTAATAAATATTGCTATTGCAAACATTATCTTCACACTTTGTGCTAACCTGTACAGAAGAAAAAAGTAAACATAAATTGCAAGTGAAATTATTATCGATAACAATAATACTATAGTACAGCAACTACAACAACAATAATACTAATACTAATACTAATACTAATACTAACACTAATACTAATACTAATACTAATACTAATACTAATACTAATAATAATAATAATAATAATAATAATAATAATAATAATAATAATAATAATAATAATAATAATAATAATAACACAGTAGCTTCAAAAAGTTAACAGAAATTGTCAATAACTCAGAAACAAGGTACTACAACGCAATTGAAACATTTCCTTCAAAATAGTTTCCTTCCGCAGTGATATATCTGTCGGTGCGTATAAAGTGACTGGAAGCAGTCCTGGAAGCCATTTTGCGATACTAGTCGTAGTGCTCTCGACGCATTTGCAGTAACTTCGTCAGCGTTCACGAATCTTTCTTCCTTCAGAAGTTTTCAGCCGTGGAAAGAGAAACAAATCTGGCGGTGAATGATCTGGGGAGAACGGAGAATGCTCCAATGCAGTAACGTTGTACATAGCAAGGTACATTTTTAACAAAACTGATTGATTTGGGAGTGCGTTATCTTGCAAAAGCCCAGTAGTTTTGGGCGCACTTTTCTGGACGATTTTTTCTTACTGCGTCCCTGAGGCGACGAAGGATTTGCACATACAGTTCTTTTGTTACAGTACGACCCCCTGGAATAAACTCATAGTGGACGAGGCCTTGTGCGTCAAAGAAAGCTTCCAGCATACCTTTGCCTCTGTTAGTGTCCTTAAACATTTATTTGTTTCCTAGAAGATGTTATGGATTTCCACTTGAATGACTGTAGTTTAGGTACCAGGTCGTACAAATAGCACCAAGTTTAATCTCCAGCAATTATGTTGTCAACAAAATTATTATTTTGATCAGTCAAACATATCAGTTCGTCAGCAGGAATAATTTTGTTTCTTTTTTTTCAGAAGACAACAGTTTTGGAACCAACCTTTCCGATATGTAATGCATGTTTCAAATGTTTGTGAAGAATTATGTAAACACTTCCAGCTGAAATTTGTGTGTCGGAAATGAGGCAACTTCATAGCAAAAAAGAAAGAAAGAAATAATTTCATTAATAAATATTATTATATTCATAATTGAGAAAATTTATACGATTCTGGAAGGGAAAACGACATGTTTCTTTGCGAAACTGATGCACCAACTGTTTTCACACAAAGATAAATAACATAATATAAAAAATGCACACACACACATACACACACACACACACACACATATATA